GCGGCGGGCAGCTCGGGAGCGGTTCCCGGGCTCGGGTTTCTGACCAGCTAAAGCCGTAAGAGCAGTAACGAGCGCAGCCCAGAGCCGTGCGGCAGCGAGGAGCTCAGCGGGCGCCCGCAGCCGGTGATTTTGGGAGAGCCTTTTGCCTCTCAGCGTTACCGAAGAGCAGAGAGCCGCGGCTGGGCAGCAGTGAGCCTCCTAACAAAGCAATGTCCGCAGGCAAACGCGAGGGCAGCCGCTCTCTCTCTCTGTGCCGTCCGGCAGACTTTGGTTTTTACGAAGTATATATTTTTGTTGTACTTGTTGCAGCCTCGGTGCAGCCACCCCAGGGTGACACGAAGCCAACATGTTTCTGTACAACCTGACGCTGCAGCGAGCCACGGGCATCAGCTATGCCATCCACGGGAACTTTTCAGGTAATCTCCTCCTCCCTGAGCGCCTCTTTGCTTCGGGTAATTGAGGGGAAAAAGGGGTTTGTTCTTTTTCCTGTTTAGTTGCTAAAATTAATCTGCTCCATTGTCTTATTTTTTTGCTGATGTATTATTGTTTACTCTTCAGTGTGTCACTTGAGTTATTGTAACTTACAGAAAAACCAGGAGAAGTTTGGCTTTATTATGCATAAATTTAATATTTCCTTCATTTCCCTGATCTGTTCAAAGATGCTCAAACAACAGCGGCACCCACTGTGGTGACTGAATTGCTTTGAATTTTCCCCAAGTAATTCCCAAACTCTTTGGCATTGAGTAGTCATGAAGTTTTATCTTATGGTGCTTCTTGAAATTCCATGCTCTGCTGTCTCGTTGCTAACTCTTCTTCATATTTCGGGTTCTTTAGGAACCAAACAACAAGAAATTGTTGTTTCCCGGGGCAAGATCCTGGAGTTACTGCGCCCGGATCCCAACACGGGGAAGGTTCACACCCTGCTGACCGTGGAGGTGTTCGGAGTCATTCGCTCCCTCATGGCCTTCAGGCTGACGGGTGGCACCAAAGACTACATCGTCGTGGGCAGCGATTCGGGGCGCATCGTTATCCTGGAGTACCAGCCTTCGAAGAACGTCTTTGAGAAGATTCATCAGGAAACTTTTGGCAAGAGCGGGTGTCGCAGAATCGTTCCCGGGCAGTACTTGGCTGTGGACCCAAAGGGCCGCGCCGTCATGATCAGTAAGTCAATCTGCTGAATTCTTCCCTCCTTATTTTTTTTCCCCCTCCTTATATATTTT